GGATGGTTGTCAAACGTTGCCTAGAGATTGTAAATTTCGTCGTGAATTGTCAACACGAGTTGGTGTAATCGGTAAGGCGTGTGGATTACACCACAGAGACCCCGAGTTCGAGTCCCGCCGTAAACATGAAGTTTTTTAGTTGATGGAAGTTTTGTCGAACTTTCTGGAATATTTGAGTGAAAGTAATGAAAAATTAAGGAGCGAGAAGGAGAATAAATAAAAATGAATAACGAAATTATTGGAAGGTTCTGGAGGCATGACGATCAAAAAGAATAACGAAATTGAATGTTCTAGAACCTGACCGGGGGTATATAAGCGGAACTGCGGCTCACCGCTGGCAGTTGAGTTCTAAGTCTAAAGCGATTCGGAAGAAAAGGAAGAAGTGAAAAAGAAGAAAAGTGAGTGAAATAGTGAAGTGCAGTGAAATAGTGAAGTGCAGTCAGTTAAGTGAAGTTAGCGTGAACGGCAAAGTTGTGTCAGTCGGCCGGACTCTGCTGGAGAGGAACGCCGATAACTTAACTCCGTGGACGCTGTAACTTAAGCGCAATAGAAAGTCTGAAAACCGGTATTAGTGTTTCATTTCATCCAATCCCGTAACCCAAGCCCGCATAGTCAGGAACGTGACGTCAGGCACGTAACATTATTTAAATATTAAGTAATGTCTTCGTAAAGTGCTAAATTTAACTTTCAAAGTCAAAGTAAAAAATCATTTCAATTAGACACTTACACGCACTTTAGAACGTCAAACAAAATTTAAAAGCTATGAAGTCTGTCGGTCGGTCAGTTCTCTCAGTGAAGCTATTTGCTCGTATTTTCAAAAGTATTTGTTAAGATTCAAATGACTTACGAGTAAAGCTCTTAAAAATAACTCTTCTATAGAATTGTAAACAGTCAGATTAAGGTTGCTTTAACGGGATAAGCTGTTAAAAGATAACTTTACCATTAAATACCTTTCAAAACAGCCAAGGCTTGAAAAGTGTTACTCGAAACTTGTTTCAAACCTACTGTTACACTTATCTGCGAAAACTGCGGTTGACTGGTAAAGTGTAAAATTCGGCTAACATTTTGCAAGTTTCTAAGAATAAATGGATGGATTAATATTGGTTCCTCATTCTTGTTTAGTACTGAATGGATTTCAATAATATTGCAACATAGGAGTCCTACTAGAAAGTTTGTTAGTACCGATGAATGAGATGTTGTTACGGAGTATGGTTATAATGTCTGAATACTAAATAATCGAATTTGACTGCACGATTGGTGCGGTGGCTGGGCAACTGGCTGCCGTGCAACGTGTCGCGGCACCCACGACACAGGTGAATAAATATGTAGTACCCCTAATGTGGGGCAAAGTTTCATTCAAAAAAAAATATATATCAGACTTATATGTTTATATGATTATTTAGACACCACTTACATACTGACGGTGAAGGAAAACCTCGTGAAGAAACCTGGATTTATACTTTCTAATTATAAGTTTGAAATCGTTAATCCGGCTTGAGCAAGCGTGGTTATTACAGCTCAAACCTTTTCCGTGTGAAGAGAGGCCTTTCCTCAGTAGAAGGCACTTATAGTCTGATGACGTGATTATTTTGAAAATCTATACTGACACTGTTAGAGGAATCTTCAAAAATACACAATATTACTTTTCCCACCCCAGGAATTAAACCTGAATCTATACTTTCTACGTAGAAAAACGACATACTGAAAATCTACTAATCTATTTGAATTTAAGTCAGTAACGATGCCCTTTATTTGACCTTTAACCTATCAATTTCACCGGTAGCTCAAACAAAAAAAGTTGACCATGCAGAGAGATTTATTTATCAAGTGTAGGAGAGCCATGCTTCGGCACGAATGGGTCGGCTCGACCAGAGTAAAAGAAAAAAAAAAATTCCAAATCCATTCTTTTGTAGGCTAGAGATCTGAGGACTTAAACATTGGGCCTTTAATAGCCTAACTCATACAGCGAAATGCTAAATGAAGCGTGGTTTTATACCAGTGTTTCGTGATATCGGTTGACTGAGCCTACTCGTATCGAAGCTTTCCACGCGTATATTGAATGATAGAATTTCGAATTGTTTGAAAATTAGCTCCGCTGTAAATTACCTAGTTATCGCTTAACGGCCCGATGAACTGTCGAGTCTTAGGTTGCGGTTTCATTGAGCGCATAGCGTGAGTGAATTGAACAGCTTATTAAAATACGCTTACAAATATGTGGCACACTTTTTTTTTGTTGCCCCACTTTGACACATCAGGATCTTCCCTGAGTCGTGGGTGCGTTTTCAAACGTACAATTTAACATGCATACACACCCAGACCCGGAAAAACAAATTGTGGATCACACAATGAGTTGTTCCGTGCGAGAATCAAATCCGCGACATATGGCGCGGCAGCCAGTTGCCCAACCACCGTGACAACTGTGTCAACAGTCACTTACATTCTGTATTTTTTTTATGTAATAGGTCGGCAAACGAGCAGACAGATTACCTGATGGTTAGCAATCAGCGCCGCCCATGGACACCCGCAACACCAAAGGTGTTACGAATGCGTTGCCATACTAATATCTAAGTTTGTATGTAGGGGGTAATAATTGGAACCGCTGGTCGGATTGCTAAAATTCTTTCACTGATAGGTAGCTACAATGTTCCTGAGTGCTATAGGCTATAAATCATCACGCTACGATGAAATAGAACCGAGCAGCGGGTGAAACCACGCGAGAGAACCTAGTCATTTTATATACCTATTAAAAAACTTCTGTTGCATAGTTTTAAAGATTTAAGCATTCATAGGGATGAAGGGATAGAGAAATAATGTATACTATGCATGTGAGTATCGAGAGAGCAAAATAGTCATAGAACTGCCGTGTTATATTGCTATTAAATATAATAATGTATATGAATACATTATAAAGTCATTTCACCGCCATATTAACACAGCTTTGAGCTTATAATTCGCTTTGTTTCGCTCATCCAGTCCTAGCTCTGTCTAATGTAGCCTTGTCTCGCTCGCACGTTCGAAAACATTCCTATTTAAATAAAATAGGTAAATGTGAAATGAACTTTGACTCATAGAGATAAGAGTCTATTTCTCATTACTTGTTGCCTATCTATTACAGCGAATATCTATCACGGTATTGCATATGTTCAGTGAAACGTTTTATTTCTCTTAGGAATTCAGTTTGTGGTAAGGATTTAGTTTATATTAAGAAGATGTTGTCGTGTCGTGGTGGCCCGGAGATTAAGGAGCCCGCTTCTCATGCAGGAGGTTGTGGGTTCCAAACCTGGCAAGTACCAATGTGACTTTTTCCGAGTTATATGTACTTTCTATGATTATTTAGACACCAATGACATACGGTGAACATCGTGAGTAAACCTGGACTTATAATTTGTAATTATAAGTTTGAAATCGCCAACCCGCATTGAGCAAGCGTGGTGATTAATGCTCTAACCTTCTCCTTATGAGAAGAGGCCTTTGCTCAGCAATGGGCACTTATAGGCTGATGATGATGATGATGTTGTAGGCGATATATCGTTATTAGATAAGCTATAGGTCTATAATTTAATATAACTTACAAACTACACTATTATTTTTTACTTAATAAATAATACTGTGAACTTAGTAATAATTTTGGTCCGACAGACAAACCGTGTGTATAGTTTTGTCGGTCATTTTTTTTACATTGTAACACTTAAAATGAACCTTTTTGAACAATAAAAAAATAAATAAAATAATGTGCCTTCAGTATCTTCTCTTAATTCGCACATAAAACTGTACTCATTATTATTTTAAAGATGTTTTTTTCTTAATAGGAAAATGAAATCCACTGCCTTTTCCGTTCTAGATGCGTTGTGTTTCGCCGTGTGAGTGAGGTTACCGGAGGCGCAATTCTTACCCGCCCCCAATCCCTCCTCAATCCCTAAATCTCCATCGACCATTTACGTAAAATAAAAGTCGTGTAGGAGTTTTAGGGTAGTTTGCCGCTCGACCAGTGCCAGACCATGTAGCATCCCGCGCGCGCCTTAAAGAACTAATAGACCATCACAGAAAAAAACCATCCAGTTCCATCTGCAGCTGCTCAAAGCTATAGAGATATGTATAGTTACGCAAGACAACCCCAACTCGTCGTGAACCCCAATGTATTTTCCCGAAACAGTTTTTAAAAAATGATTCTTATTGTAAAGCCTTTCAAAGCTTTTAGTACGCTCAATCTAATGGTTCATCTCAAAACCCCCTGGCATTATCTCCTGACAAAACGCGAAAACACAATCATCACGCGATGTAACTCTTGCATATAATCGCACGCGATAACGATAGACGTCTTAATGTAAAATTTAAAAAGAAAACCTTTGTTCGGTCTCCTGTGTTAGAACATTTTGAAGTGTTTTTTGCACGAACGTTTGACTTTTTTTTAGAGTCTATATTTTTATTATATTATATATTTTTTTTTTGTTATATTTTCGGATACTTACCTAAGGCATTGGACTATTCTTATTCTGGTTACCTCACTGACACGGCGAAACACAAAGCTCTTGTTTGACGCTGGTTTTCTGTCAGGCCGTGGTACAAACTCCGGTCGAGATGACCCATTAATCAACCTAACCAAATGTAATTTATCAACCTATCTATCTACTTTTGAGATGCGCTTACAACCAGAGTCTATAGTAATTGTCACTATAAAATCAGTTTAAGCGTAGACCAAATTGAAATGACCAATTAGAAGAGTCTTATCAGAAAATGATTTATTTTTCATAAAAAAAAATGACAGCCCATATAAAAGTCCTGTATCGTGGGTGTGTTTATAAACATAATTATAATTTCACATACACATCACACCCAGACCCGAAACAATAATCAACAACACAAAAATTTATTGATCCGTGTGGGAATCGAACCTACGTTGTGATACGTTCTGCGACAGCCGTGCGATACTTTACGGGCATTGCTTATATATGTAGTAGTTTTGTCAAAGTATCCTTACAATGTAAAAAAAATCCTCTTACCTGAAAATAGAGCAGCATTTTGCACAGCACATCTCCCAGGAACCACGTCTCGGTGACATCCCACAGAACGGTAGCGGGCAAACAAAACAGAATCACCATAAAGTCCGCCACAGCCAAGTTCACTATAAAATAGTTCGTGACAGTTCTCATACTGTGATTCCTGTACACTGCAACGCACACTAAAGCATTCCCCACCAATCCCGTGATAAATACCAAGGTGTGCGTGCCTATCAGAACCCATTCGTACGTGTGTGGATAAATGTAGTCATTCAACATTGTGATGTATTCCTCTCGTGATAAGTTGCAAAATTCCTTTTGTCCGACACATTCTTCTGTTGTGTTCTCATGTGGCGCTACTTCAGTTGTGGTGAAATTCTCTATTGCGTTTTCTGATCTTTTGTATCTTTTTTCATTTGTATATTTTAGGTATATACTGGCTTCTTCATCGTATTTGTCCGCATCAATTGTTTCTATTTTAGCAATAAGAAGAATGCTGACAATCAGTATCGTAACTTTATTTACGAAATTCATTTTGGACTTATTTTTTTGACTTGTTTTGTATCATTCCCGATCTGGAAAAAAGAGAAAAACATATTTTTAGAATCACACGTCACATTATTACATAGTATAAAACAAAGTTGTTTTTTATGGGATAAGTCGGCAAACGAGCAGACGGATTACCTGATGGTAAGCAGTCGGCGCCGCCCATGGACACACGCAACACTAAAAGAGTTACGAGTGTGTTACCGGCTTTTTGAGATAAGGGTTGCGGATATTTAAGGTTTGGAAAGGAATAGGGGAGGGGAGGTATTGGGCCTCCGAAAGTAACTTTGTCTATCCCTATCTCCCTATATATGCCTAAATCTTTAAAACTACGCAACGGATTTTGATGCGGTTCTTTTATAGATAGAGTAATTCAAGAGGAAGATTTATATACATATATAGTATAATAAAAAAAATATCGAAGCCCGGGTGAGTCGCTACTACGGAGTATATATGTATATTAAGAAAACTTATTTTATTTTAACATTTCAACACAAACATAGCAATAAGGGAAAATAAATGTGTTTTACAAATAGGTATAAATAAATATTTGAGGTGTTTATAAATAGAATCTCATCGTTTTGTGTAAGTGGTTCTGACAAGTACCTAATAAACTTTCAAGTACTTTTCTTTGTTCAAAATTGTACTGAAGATATTATAACTATGTATATCCAGTTTTGATTCTTTTTAATAATGATTTTCTGTCTTTTATTTCTGTTACAGTTGTTTCTACTTGACTCGTTCGTGGAAAAAAGTTCTCTCTCGTTCAAAAGAAATCGAGAATTTTCTGAATCAAATTAAATTGAGCACCTAAATCGTTGAACATTTTATAATGTTCGTTTTTACGGAAATTTGTGTTGTTTAAAGAAATCTATGAACTATTATCATCTGAATTTAAAAGATTAATCTATATATCTTATATATAAAAATGGATCGCAAAATGTGTTGTAAGCGCATAACTCAACAACGCCTGGACCAATGTCGCTAGTTCTTTTTGTTATGTTTCTTACTGTCAGGAGAGGGTTCTTATTAAAGAAAATATTAAAAATACACAGGAGAAAATTGGGAAAAAGTGACCCTTTGATAGCGAGATAGTTGGACCCGTGAGAAGTGGAGGCGGGCCGCTAGTATTAAATTAAAAATGCAATATATATTAACTGATCTCCTACTAATTTTTAATTACTATCTAGTAATAATTTAACCAAATTAATAATTGAAAATGAAATACTAAACCGAACTAAATTTGCAGTAAATTGAGAACTTTGCAACTGTGTAAGTACTTATACATACAATTTATGGCTCTTTCAAAACTAATCCATTAAATTAATTCCATATATTGTTACACGTGAATTGATCAAATTGATCAATTAACGATAGATTATTGTCTTGTTACAGACCGTTAATTGCTGAGATCAGACATGCTGATAGATAATTATTCATAGCAAAACGATATAACTACATAGTAACGCATATTAACGACGTTTTTTGAATTCGCATACACATCATCAGCCTATAAGTGCCCACTTCTGAACAAAGTCCTCTTCTCATACGGAGAAGGTTTGTGCAATGGTTTGAACATTAATCACCACGCCTGCTCAAGGCGATTTCAAACTTAATTCCTTATGATGTTTTTCTTCACAGTTTGTCAGTGGTGTCTATATAATCATAGAAAGTATATTATAATTCAGAAAAAGTTACATTATAGGGTCACAGTATGCTGAGCGAGAGCTAGGTGTGACGCATATTTTCTGACATTTACTTTCTTCTTGTTTTATGCTTCTTATTGTAGTGGTTTATTTTCAGTTTTTACTATATTCTTTGTTTGTCTATATGTCTCATACATAATGTATAAATGTATTTTTTATGTAAACTTCGTGCACAATGGGTACAAAGGCGGACTTAATGCCTAAGGCATTTTCTACCATTCGAGACTTGGGTGATGAAGAGATGAGCCAATGGTTGGTGCAAGAAGCAAGCAAACAGACCTAATTTTTACCACTACGCCAAAGAAAAAGACTGCGTAGTCACACGTTATCAAAGTGCAGGTATGGTAGGTAAATGTAACGTGTGACTACGCCTTTCAGTATTCAGAAAATCTTATTTCTTACTTTGACAGTGCCGTTTTTGTCGTAGTTGGGTTTTAGTTTTTATACTTTTTATTATATATGAGACATGACGAGATAGTCATACTATGTATTAGCTTTCTTGAAAACCCTTTTTAGTAAAACTTTATCATACAACTTCAAACTATTTGAAATCTTTTATAAAAGGTTATCGAAACCTAAAACCTTTTATTCGATCTCCTTTCGATAATTTGCCAAATGTTTTTCATAGTAAAATACAAAGTACATCTTATAATATGGATTTAGAAAATAAACTATTCACTTGACTATTTTTAGACAAAGATTACAATGGTAATCGAATTTTTATTGTTGAGTTTCACGTTAAGTCGTTTTATTTTAGATAGGTAATAAGTTTCGTATATTAAACAAAGAAAGACTAAACGAAACAGAAGAATGACGTTGATTCTTGCTAAACGGAGTCACTTTTAAAGAGGAGTTTCTTTAAGTGCGTACGCTAGTCACATTTTCAGACAGCTGTGTAAGAGTACCTACATTCTTAAGACTTCCTTAATTTCACGTTTGCGTTTAAGTAAATATCCTATAATACAAACTAGACTTAGTTTAAAAGTTAGAGAACCTAAGGACTATATGTATCGATGCCTTTTGAATAACGTGAAATAATGCTTTCTAACCCTGAATTTTTATTAAAAAAATAAACCTTTTTATAACAATAATTGCCATTAAAACAATTTCGAACAGCAAAACATTTGAACACTTTGAACCTCATTGGATCAAAGTATTACAAGTTAAATTTAGAATACTTTTATTAAATTCTATATTAAAACGACTGGCCATAAATACACAGCGATAAACACATCCAATTACAATAAAAAATCCATACTTGAGCCCTTTGTGTGGCAGAGATAAGCTAACCTAATTTCATTAGGGTTTTCGGCGACATTGATCCTTCTGATAAAATTGAACCCTCGATAAGGGCTGTGGAAATCGTTCGAAGACCTTTGTTTACCAATAAATCCTACTAATATTAAAAAGCACCTAGCTTCACTGACGAACAGACTGACAGACTACTATTCTATTTTGACGTTTCAACTTACCTATTTATGGTTTAGTTGGAATAAATGATTTTAATTTGATTTGATTTGATAGGTGAAATTTTTGAGAATGTACAGATGTATGTTTGTTAATTTTCTCTCAAGAACGTCTGGACTGATTTGGTTGAGTACCCTGAATTATAACATATGCTACTTTTTATCAACATACTACGCGGGCTAAGCCGCGTGCTGATGCTATTAGTATCATATTTGTGGTGAGCGATTTAAACTCCATGCCGTAAAAATATTTTTTTCCCTATCCCTATTCTTGTGCCGGGTGTAAGAGCCGCCTAAAAGCATTTGAAAAAAATAAGACAACATGAGTGCTCTCTGATAAATTTTGAATGTTTTAACAGCAATTTCTTTTTTATGTTATAGGTCGGCAAACGGACTGACGGATAACCTGATAGTAAGCAATCAGCACCGCCCATTGACTCTCGGAACACCAAAGGAGTTACTAAAAGTGCCTTGCTGGCCCCTTGTGGGCTCTTAGGAATTTAAGGATTGAGGATGAGGGGAAAGGATTGAGCCTCTGGTAAACTTACTCATACACACAACGCTGTGGTTGTTTCACGCCGGTTTTCTGCAAGGTTATGGTATCACTCCGGTCGTGCCGACCCATTCGTGCCGAAGCGTGGCTCTCCCATTATCTTATCATAGCCTATTAGGTTAGAAAAAATAAAGATAAAAATCTAAAGGTCACGCCTTTTAAAATAAGAAGGGGCAGGAAAGGTCCACCACATATGGGATCTACTAAGGCCTGTCTAACCGGGATTCAAAGTCGAAGGCAAAATCATTTATTCCAACTAAACCATAACTGTCAGTCTGTTCGTCAGCGAAGCTACGTGCTTTTGTTTAATGTTGGTAGGCAAACGAGTAGAAGGATTATCTGATGGTAAGCAATCAGCGTTGCCCATGGACACCCGCAACGGAGGAGTTACGAGTGCGTTGCTGAACTTTTAGGGATTAGGGTTTTGGAGATTAAGGGATTGGGGAGCAATCTAGAGAGGGGAAAGATTGCGCCTCTGGTAACCTCACTCACGCGGCGAAACACAACGCTATGGTTGTTTCACGCCGGTTTTCTGTGAGGCCGTGGTATCACTTCGGTCGAACCGAAGATTGGCTTTCCCACACTTTGCTCATACCAAATTGTAGATTCGAATGGAGAAGAACGAGTAAGAAACTCCATCATTACTCTTTTTTTTAAATGTGATGATTGTGACTGTAAGCATATATTAACTAACTATAAAACTTTTTTCCACCAGTCTGCTTGTGACCACGATCTTTGCAACCAGGTCGAAACGGAAATTTTATAAAAGTAGGTTGGATATGTTTTGTTTATCTTATTGTAACGCTAGGTGGCGGCATTGTGTGTGCATTCTGAATACGGCGACTGTCATGGCGTTGTAAAAGTTTTCTTATAAGTTTTATTAAAATAAAACGTTTAAGTTGTGTCAGAAATCTTGTTTATTAACCTGATTCAAATAAAGCGCAATGAGGCACCGCGACCTCGGCCCAGAGCAGGAGAAGGAACAGGGGGGGTTTTTAGTCAGTAAGAGTCTGACACTCCCTCCCGCCCGGCCCTGGGCGGGAGAAGGCATTTGATGACTTTCCCCTCACAAAAAAAGGGTAGAGTAGGGTAGGGTAGGGTAGGTAGAGTAGGGTATGTAGAGTAGGGTAGGCAGAGTATGGTAAGGTAGCGTAGGGTAGATAGGTAACAAGGTTGGGTAGTCAAATGACTGGGGTGAAGCCACGGGAAAGAGCTAGTGTATAATATGAAAACGTTTTCTATATCCATGTATTACACAGTAATCTGTCTTTCACTACACAATGACAGGTGGCAAACATCTGAAC